AAATTTCGTGATAAACGCTTTACTCCATTTTGCTACTGTCTTAAAAATGGTATATGATATATGAAAACTTTTAATATTGTTGATCCTATAAAATACATAGTTATTAACTTTTAAATATACTTAAGGTAAAGTGCAGAATCGCCCATTTATTAGTTTGGCGTTTGCAAGAGTAAGAAGAACTGGATTTCTGTCAATTTTCTTTGACTTTTTAAGTGAAAATAGGTCAATGGGTACATGGTTAAAGTCAAGGGAGTGCGCAATGCAATTTTAAGTGAAAATCGGTCGATGTGTACATGGATACCGAGTATGTGTAATTCTTAAAAATGTGCCAAATAGTGGGTGATTCTGCACTTTCCCCACTTTTTCGTTGTTTCTCTTGAAGTCCTGTTTTAGATATTTTTGAATGTTTACAGGTTGTTTAGATATTTTTGCCTGTTTACAGAATTAATTCAAATTCGCAACCATCTAATATGGCGATATGATGAGTTAAGAATTTTCTAAAACGCACGAAAACAACCGACTTGGCGACTTCGCAATTTTTTGAAAACGTGCCAAACTGGGCCTTAATATCCAGTTTTACCAATACCTCTGCATTTAAAATATTATAAATCTGTACAGAAAAGACCAGCGAGAACAACGAAGCCCCCAGAAAAATTAGAAGATTATGTAGTATACATTGCAAATGTAGAATTATCTAACACATATTATTGCGTGCGTCCGGTTTCGTTACGAATTGAATGCACAAGTCCGATGAAAAATGAACAAAAAAATTTATTGTTATCACAAAATACTTAAATTCTCTCAGATATTCTTTCAGTTTTACAATATCTCACAGTAGTTATCTTCTAACTACTCAAACGTTCAAAAGAACTTAATTCAGAACAGCTAGAGAAAGCTAATCCGCGAATTCGCTACAGTCAACAGCAGTTTTCTAAACAACAACAAACTAAGTAGCTACTACGAACTTCAAGTTCGCTGGATGCGCCGCTGATTAACTTGCAGGATTTGCAAGTTTTGTTCCGGCTGTCTGAGTTAGTTGCTATAGAGCGTTGAAAGTAGGAGAATGAGTGAGACCTAAGTCGGGATTGCAGATGTTGAGAGCTCGTGACTACATTGTCACGTAAGGTGTGAAGAAGTCGTTAATACGTTGCGAGATTTCAGGTTAGAAATGCTGAAGAGAACATTAAATGTACAAATTTGCAGAAATAATTACATAAAAGAGAAATTTTTCTAGTAATCATCAGAGTAACAACATATGGAATAAACCAAATTTCATCACATAATACAGTCTAGCAATCCTATAAGTTCTGAGTCCATGATAACGGGATGGGGGTGGTGTAAACAGAATCATGGTTTCATGATAACAATCGAAGATACTACGAACTGAGAGGTTTTCCTCCTTTTATAAGATTTTAAAATCGCGCGCGAGAATTTTCTATTACTTTCTCGAAATCAAAAAGAGATATTTATTAAATGTTACATGTACGCGCTCTTTTTTTTTTTTTTTTTTTCAATTTTCCGGCTTAGCTTTCTTTTAATATTCATCACGCGCTGCACTGCGCGGGAAATAAAACCATTTAATTTACAATTCAACTAACATAAGCTATTTAAATACCAAATCCGTAACAATATGATGAAGCTGTAGAATCGACTGAAAGTATATTCTGGCTACACGCAATGATAGAAGAACTAAGTTCAATGCTGGCTCATAAAGTCTGGGAATTAGTTGAAAGTCCCATCGATAAGTAGTATGTTATTAAAAACCGCTGGATATTCTCAAAAAGGGTAATTTAGAAACAGTTTACAAAGCAAGACTAGTAGCAATTGGATTTAATCAAAGAAAAGGAATTGATTATGAAGATCGATTTAGTCCAATAATATTCGTCACGCCCTGCATATCTTGTAAACGAGTATATCTTGTAAACAAAAGTATATATCGATTAACACAATCAGGAAAGTGCTGGTATGATAAATTATATATCTAGTTGGCCTTGGATCATACCCCCTATTAACCCATTTCTTTTGTGTGCTCTGCAACCGCTGTTTCAGACTTTCACTACTAAGAACATATAGTGAATTTGAGTTTCAGAAACAGTGCTTCCTTTTAGTCTGTATCACGGGAAGAACATCAGTAAAACAAAAAGATGGAAGTAAAAGTAAAAGGTGGCCGCCGTCAGTCGACGAAAAAGGAAGTGTCTGCTTGAAGATCGAAATCAGTGAACTGAAGAATCTAGTATAAGTAAAAAATGTTAAGGATGGAGAATTTCAGATGGATATTTGTGCTTTTCTCTGGGAAATGGAGAACATCTAAGATAGTTGATGCAGTTGTTAGGATGAGTGAGTACTGAATAGAAGAAATTTCTGGCAAGCTTTTGAATATAATCTTGAACCGTATGTACTTTGAGATCACGGTGGATTTAAGAATTTGGAATGAACAATGGCGCGTCAATGATCTCTCTGAGTGCTTTGTTTTGAAGAACTTCGATGTATTGAAGGTGAGTTTTGGCAGCGTGACCCCAGACAAGACTAGCATAGAGTAATACTGGTCGAAGTATAGATTTGTATAAGAGGAGTTTAGTAGAAACGGACATATGACTTCTTCTGCCAGGAAGTGGGCGCATAGTTGCAAGCGTGATATTGATTTTTTTCACAGTTTCTCTGAGGTTTCTGAAAAGTCAATTTTATTCAAGAATGACTCCTAGATATTTAACTTCGTCAACCAAGTCAATTTCTTCATCAAACAGAAGATGTCTAGGTGGAATGAAATTTGTTTGACCTTTGTGAAAAATTATTGCTTTTGAATTTTCGGTATTAATCGTAATCCTCCAAAGACTGAGCCAATTTTTTAGATGATTGAGGTAATGTTGAAGAAGGAGCTGGACATCAGTAACAGTAGAAGCTTGGGTCATAATTGCAGTATCATCAGCGAAAAGAGCAATGGTAATTTGTGGGTCCTTAGGAATATCGTAAATGTAAATATTATATAAGTATGGAGAAAGTACTGATCCTTGAGGCACTGCAGCGAAAATATTTCTCGTGGAAGAAATAGAACTGCCAATTTTCACTGCAAAGATTCTGTCTTGGAAATAGGAAGCAATAAGTCTAATACAATGATCGGGGAAGTTTAACTTGATAAGTTTGTATATAAGTCCCCGGTGCCATACCCTATCAAAAGCTTTCGCAATATCAAGGAAAATGGCTCCGGTAGGGAACTTACAAGTAATATAGTTGATAACATGAAGCAGCTGGTGATTAGTACTGTGAAGATGACGGAAGCCAAACAGTTCGTCTGGAATGTAGGAGCTCTGTGGAATAATTTGATTAAGATGATAGAGAATAACTTTTCAACTACTTTAGAAAGTTGACTAAGAAGGCTGATTGGGCGGTAGTTCTGGGAAAACGTTGAATTTTGATGCGGTTTTGGGAAGACGACGATGATGGCATATTTCCATAAATTAGGAAAGTAAGAGAATTTGACGAGAGAGTTGATTATCTTAGTAAGACAAGTGATGGCATTGATAGGAAGATGTTTCAACGCTTTGGTAATAATACCATCAACACCAGGAGCTTTCCTGGGTTTTAAGGAGCTAACCGCGATTCAATTCGCCTATAGGTGGCACTTTCACGCATTAATGTGGCGGATAAAAACCGGTATTTTGATTTGTGATCTGACTTCGTACATTCAAAAATGGAGTTGCTTAGCTTTTCCGAAATGTTTGGTTTTGTTCAAGGAAGCGTAAATTCTGGCTGTGTTACTGAAGCAGAGCGAATTTTAAAAAGCGGATTATTTGGTAATGCACGGAATTTTACTTAAAAAATCCAATTTGCAAATTTTGGCTTCCTATTCAAGGATAAGTTGTATATCGTCCTGATCGCATGAAATCGAAGGATATTTCTCTGTTAAAAAGGAGAAGTAAATTTTTTAAAAAAAAATTCTTGTTCATGTAAAGAAGGAACTGCTGGCTGTTGTAGGAAATTGCGTCACTGTTTTATTGTATTGCGACATGTAGCTGATTTTAACGTTCACTGATCATAAACAAATGATTTTATATGCGTTTAACTTGGGATTTACAGAAAATCTGTGCAGTTAAAAGTGTCTTTTTTTTCCATAAAAATGACATTGAATCGTTATATACCAAAAATTTATTGATCTATCATATTCGTCTATTGTATTTATATCTATTATATAGATAATAACACTAATTATCGATTGCAATTTTGAGAATATCAACAAGCAAAGCACTTAAAAATGAAAAAAGACATTTGTAATAGAAATATTAGTATTCTATATGTGTTATAGAAAATACATGCAATGAATAATACCATGACCAAACATTAAAAAAATAAATAAATAAATAAATAAAAAGAGAAGATTAAATATTACCTACCCTTCAGTACTTGAGAAAGCAATCCTGGCATATAACATGTAGAACATGTTAACTTTTGATTACATGATATTACAAGCATTTTCTTTAGATTTGCCCTAAAAGTGGTTAAAACGACTGAACACATAATGCCCACAACAATAAAAAATAAGCGTTTAATTACTTTTCGATCGCAACACGCTTCACAAACTACGTAGTATTGCAAACGTAAGTACGGATTTCTAATGTTTTCACCTTTAAGTCACTAGACGGCATATCAGAGCGCTGGAATTGCGGAATACTTTCAGACTCCCATGAGTGTTACACACGAACATGTGTGTCTATATTGTTGAATATTTATTTTGTTTGTATTATATCAACCTATTTTCACACCAGATTTTATTAAAATCTATCCAGTAGTTCTGGAGATCGTACATCAAATATGAAAATTCTCTTTATTTCTTACATCAGTGTACATGGAACCTTGATTTTTCCTTCGTGTGAAATAGTCATGGTATGTGGCAACTTCATTTGCGATACTGAAGCGCCATCTGTGAAACCCTTCGCGTGTGATTTTTCTTTCACCAAAGTGGCAACATCAAACCACAGAAAAATCGAAAGAACAGTGACTGATTTTTTGTTTGTGAAATTCGATGTGCAAAAAATGTAAATAAATATTAATTTTATGGGAGTCAAGGAAGGTTTAGCGTTTTCATACATTCCAGATAATTTCTAACAATTCGCACTGACAAGCCTCTTGTTTTTTCAAATACGTTTAAATATCTGGCAACATTATGACTTTTTACTTCAATTTGTTAGGATTATTATCGTCTGCATGTTATCCGTATTCAATGGTGTTTAATGTCTGTGATTTATTTCCGCTTATTAAAGTAATGAAGATATCGCATATGTTGAATTACTGCGTTTATAGACTATTTTAAAGTGTTATTCTACCGTATGTTACAGTTCTGTTTACCACTACCATTTATGTATTAAAGTTCTTACTATTATTTAGGAAAGTGATAAAATACAGTAGAACATTATATAAATCTTTCTTGATGCGCGTTTTTCTGTATTATACTTGAATTTCACATCTCAGAAATGTGTCTGTTAAAAATTCAAAATAACTTCAGATATACCTAATGCAGCTCTATGTTGCTCAGCGCAGGTTTAATTTATACTTATTTTTATTCTTGCTGGGAAAAGAGACATTATAGGAAGGATTAATTTATTACACAAAGGTTGCTTAGTGATATTAACATATTGCCCAAGGTTGATAAGTTTCCAGAGTCTCGTGCATATTCTGGTGTTTTCTTTTAAATATCCAAATCAAATTAGGGAAATTTGTTTTGTTGAGAAGTTTCTTTTACCGTAGTTTAATTAGTTGAGGTGCAAATTTACCATTCAACAGATTGATAATTATGAAAAAGCTAACGAAATTGCTGGTGACTTGTAATTGGTAATGTATCTTTTTCACAAATTGATGTCATAACTATAAGATGATTCATGGCACGGCGACAATAACAGTGAGGTAAGGATCTGCAGGTATGAATTTGGAAACATCTGTATCTTGAAAAACTGATAGTTTATCAATCTAGTAAATTAATTGAAAGATATTTGTTATACAGAATAGACAGGATTGTTTTTATGATTTAGTTTCGTACGGAAATCCAGTTATTTCCATATGATAAAAAAAAAAAAAAAAAAAAAAAAACTTGATTAGTTTATTAGATGGGTCAGAAAAAATTATGCTGCTTATTATTCAGATTTTTCAGAGTCCTATTCTGAGAAAGATGTTTGAAACAACTGAAAAGATGTCTGTTGTTTGAAAAACTGTACCTATCAAGTGAACTGGAAAAAAAAATTGCTTAGCTTTATGTTTATTTATATAAATTGGGTAAAGCAGTTGGCCAAGAAAATGTGTGTTAGAAAATGACACATTGTGTAGTCTATAGAAATGCCCAGTTCAACATTCAGACACTGAACTTCACCAAATTATGAATGACATTTTTGTTACTGCTTATTGTTTCTGCTAGTTACTGTTGCACATATTAAGTTTTGCCACTACCAGAAACATGAATGACTACTGTAAGAAATTCATAGAATTGTTATGAAACTGAGACCTGGAAAAAACTTGAAGATTGAATCTTTATAGGAATTTTTATAGCCATGGCTTTGCAGGAATTATTGTCAAAATATAAGAAAGTGTGGCTAATCTTTAGAATATGGTAACAGGTAATTTGGCGACACTTTGGTAAGGCGATAAAGGTGATAAAGATAAGCGATAAAGGCGATAAAAATTAGCTAGGACTTTAGCAATAATCCGAGAAGTACACAGTTTGAATCACAGATTATTTTGTCTCACATAAATGAGAGATTATGAGGCATGTAATGTGATATTTTCCGGAAAATTCCGATCTTGATTTTAGCTAATAAGCACTTAGAAACAATTTCGCTGCTAAAGTGCAGAATCGCCCACTTATTTGTTTGGTGCTTTTTACAAGAGTAAGAAGATTTGGATTTTTGTCAATTTTCTTTGAACGTTTTAAGTGAAAATAGGTCGATGTATACATAGATAAAGTCAAGAGTGTGCGCAATGCCATTTTTGTGCAATTCTGGGATGTTTTGTTAAGTGAAAATAGGTCTACGTGTACATGGATACCGTGTATGTGCAATTCTTAAAAACGTGGCAAGCAGTTTGTGATTCTGCACTTTCTCCCAGTTTCGCACCTAATCTTCATCATGATTAAGTATTTTTTTCCATAAAAGTTCTAGTATAAGCATGATTCGGCTAGCAGATTGTTGAAAAAAATTTTGAGTAAAAAAAAAAAAAAAAGCCTGTACCTCGTGAAAACAAAGTGGCGTCCAAAACAAAACTAGCAGTTTGCTGTAGCAGGGTTGGTCGCCAAAAAATCGCCAAGTTACCATAATGTAAAGATTAACCGAAAGTGTTTTGCACTTGCAGAATTTTATTTCCTTTCAAATTTAACAATTGATAGTGACGTTGATTCTATTGTTATTCATAAAAGGAGGGTGAGTCTGTACAGTAGTTTTGCATTTGACAAGTTTGTAGAATGTTATTCGCATCTTCTGATTTCATCATTGCTAAATGTAAGTGGAATTATTGAAGAGACGAAAGAATTGGAGCATTAGTGAGGAGGAAGAATGTAGTGTTAATATGTCATTATCCTCTTTTACAGATACATTGTCCCTTTTTAAATTTGATTTTATCTAATTTAATTGAATGAGAACACAAAATGGTCATTAAAAACAATGAAATTTCTACTGTGTGCATCAGAAACTAATGAAACATTAAGCTTATAAATTATTTACAAATAAAGCAAAATATGCAGAACTTTTAGTTTTATTAACTCATTTCATCAACACTTTTAGAGTATTTTATGAGTTCTTTTAATCAAGGTTATAGAAGTTACTATTATTTTAAATAAAAATTAATTTTTGTGCTATTTTAAGACATTCACAGCAAAACCTTTGTAAGATTTATTAAATAAAAATGCATCATGTGCTTCATAATTTGTAAGTAAGAATTTTATTTGTTTATATCTTGTGCGTTTTTTACACATAATCATTTTTGAGTATGATATGATTTTCTGTTCAAGTTGGAATTTTATTTATATGTTTCTTTCATCTTATCTGGCTGTGACTGCAACACATAGATGATTTTCTGCCATATTTTCTTTTTATTCTGAACTAGTGCACAACTCTAAGTATTATCTGTATTTAGCTAACTAACAGTTACTTAGATTTTTAACTTTTATTGTTTTAGGTATTGGTTTTGGAGGTCATATAACAAGCAAAATGTCTTTTGAGAATAAGTGTGCATCAGTAGAGCAATATTTGCGGAAACTTTCAGGACAAGAAAAAGAGATATTGTTAGTTGATCATAATTATGTTAAAGCATGGAATGCACATCCAGATTCTCATAGAACGAAACCTGCTCGCATGCTTTTTATGAAAGGATTACAACGATATCCAAATTTTTCAGAAACAAGGTAAGATTTCTGTTTGTTTAAAAGAGAGTGTATTTAATTTATGTGTTAAATCTTACACAGTTTTTTTTTGGGGGGGGGTATGGTTTTACTGTGAGCTATAGCATTGTGCAAAGGTATTCGGGGGAAAATATGTGTTATTTTCTGATTATCTCCATCTTCACAAAATGCTGCCAACTCATTGGTGACTTATAAAATTGGTGAAAAGTGTTTTATTGTTTTTACAGCTCATTATATGAGGTGTAAAATGTATGTTCATGAATAATATTACAAAGTAAATCTCTTTGTTGGTGTTTGTATTTTTATTGATTATTTAAAAAATCACACCTCCTGGAGGACAAATTTTGATATTTTTTGTTGGCCGAAACACCATATTACTGAAGAAATCCAATACTTTATTTCTCATCAGCTAATAAACTCCAAGGTTTCATTTCAATGCATTTCTTCTATACTCAGATGAACTTGGGGGGGGGGGGTAAAACGGAAATGATGCTAAAATGTGTAAATTCATGTGTACTTAAATCTGAATAGATTGGCTTTTACTGCGTCTATGCCTAAAATGTGTAAATTCATGTGTACTTAAATCTGAATAGATTGGCTTTTACTGCGTCTATGCCTAAAATGTGTAAATTCATGTGTACTTAAATCTGAATAGATTGGCTTTTACTGCGTCTATGCCTAAAAATGGGGCATTTCAATCGAATGGTTAAATTAGGAATACAGATAATCAGAATACAGAATAATTAGGGATCAGAAAGTACCAAAAATTCTTATTTTAGTATTTTTTTTTTCATTTCTTTTCATTGCAGGTTTTTTTTTTTTTTTTTTTTTTTTTGGTTGTACATCCAAATTTTTTTTTTTTTTTACATTAATACTAAAACGCATTTTGTTTTATATTCCTGTGGATTTTGACTTGGTTAATATGGAAACAAATATTTTCAATGAAAATTCTTTAGAGCAGTATTTTCCAATTATTTTATTATAGTGTATACAGTATTTCTTATGCTTACAGTAGCCTCCCGACTTATTTACTGTATGCTTTACATAAATTTGCAGTTACATAATTGAGCAAAATAATAATGTTCGAATTGAGACCAGCTAGTTAGAAATCAGAACTCTGTAAACAATTTTTCCTTTTTCTGGCACGCACTTCTTACATTCAAATAATATATTCACCCTGTCAATTAGTCACTTCTTCATTACTGCTAGTATTCAGTGCTTATTTACCTTTAAAATGCAAAACCAAATACACTGGCAATAAATCTAAAAAATAATGATATGAAATTACAATGCTATTCCGTTTTAAGGACCGTTAGCGTACGCGTTGATTTCAGATTCCATAAGTTCAGATAATTCTATATTTCTTAAGATGCCATTGAAATACTAGTTTAATTTTTAAATCCTTTTTTGATTTTAAATCTTTTTTTGATATCCTATGGATTTAACAATTTGGGAATTGTCCATGACGAAAAGTCTGCAATAGAATTTTTTCAAAGAAAAGGCTTCATTCATTATAGAAAATTATGTTTGAACAACTAACTAGATGAAATTATGCTTTAGTGATAACTCCGAAAAAGAGATGCAGGAATCCATTCAGCTATGTTAAGTCTTTTTCTATATAAATTATAATAATGATCTGAAATAGTTATTTATTTCAGTATTATTTAATTATATTTAACATTTTTTATATAAATAATAATAATAATAAAAAAGTGTTACATGAAATAACCTTTCATCTAAATTAAAACAATAATCTTAGATAGTTATTTAGTATTATACTTCCATTCTTGCATTAGGGTTGCCGGAATTATTTTTGGTAGCACTGTCATCAACAAGAGTTTGGCGATTTTTTACGGTCCTCAAAACGGAATAGTACCGAAATTGCTTTAGAAAATTATCTTGGTATATCACAATATTTATTTCAACACTGAATACTGTAGGGAAGAATAAAGTTTGCATTATTGAAAGGTGACAGTAAATGTCGGAGGGCACAGTCATTGTCTAGAAGATGCTGAGCCTGATTTCAGAGACAGAGAAATTTTTGTCCCACTGAATGAAAAATGACACAGAAGCAGATGATATTTTAATTTTTCTGATTATCCAAGTGAAGGCTAGGTCTTCCTTTACCTAAAGATTTACAAGAGATGGGTTTTATTGATATGAAGTGTACATTCTAAATTAGTGCTGAATAGTTCGGACACTTCAAGAAACATTCAAATCACACAACATCAAAGTTGCTGGTGAAGCAATAAGCACAAATACAAATGGGGGAAATAAATTTTCCGAATGTGTGTCAAAAATAATGTAAGGGGCAAAACATTTGCTTTTTGGATATATATGGAGCAAATATTTAATGTGTACAAAACAGCTTTGTTTTTAAAAGGAGGCTGGCAAGAGGAGAGCCCTCTTTGAAAGCGAAGGAAGGTAATTATAACATCACCTTAAACAGATGGAACAGTTTACTTAGAAGGTTTAAGAAAAATCCTGAAATTTATGAAAAGTACTCGAGGGTAATTGAATGTTATCTAAATAAAGGAATAGCTGAAAAGGCTCCAAAGAATTCTGCAGGAAACATCTATTTTTTGCCACACCATTGTGTAATCAGAGAAGATAACGATTCTACGAAGTTAAGGGTTGTATTTGATGCTTAATCACATACTCATGACAGTCTATCTTTAAATGATTGCGTACATTCAGAACCAAATTTAATTATTAGATTTGCTTATTAGACAACAAAGGGAGATTAACAAACAGCAAAGGGAATAACAGCTGAATTATTAGATTTGCTGATTAATTTTCTTCAGTGCAAAATAACATTTGCTGCAGATGTCGAAGCTGCTTTTCTACAAATTCTTTTGAAGCCTGAGGACAGAAGTGCAGTAAGATTTCTTTGGACTGCAAAGGAAAAGGAGCAACCAATGATTTTAAGAATGACGCATGTAATATTTGGAGCAACCTGTAGCCCCTTTTTACTAGCAGCAACTATAAAGCATATTGCAAGAAAGTTGAAATCACAATATTCAAAGATCTGTTTGTTTCTTGATGAAACCATTTACGTAGATGATTTGATTCATCGTACAGATGATGAAGAAGCTGCAGAAATTTATGAAGATGCGAAAAGGATTACGATGCTTGCTAGTTTCAATATGAGAAAGTGGAGGAGCAATAACGCCCAATTACATGCTATTTGGAATGCGGCAGAAAATACGAAATTTAATGGAGATGGAATGAATAGAACTTTGTTAGGATATATTTGGAATTATGAAGCAGATAGACTGAAATTTCAAATCAAAGATGAATGACTGAAAGACCCGGCTGAGGAAATAACAAAACGGAAGATTCTTCAAGTTGTGGGCGAACTATACGATCCTATCGGTTTCATATCTCCCTTTGTTGTTGCAGCTAAAATGATGATGAAGATGTTGGCAAAGAGGATACCATTAGGATGTACCACGTAACCAAGACTTGCAGAACCGATTTAAAACCTGGTATAATGAAATTTCTAAATTAAAATATGTTGAAATTCCAAGACATTTTTTCAACAGTCTATCAAAAAATAATATATAGAATATTTAGTTGCACTGTTTTACAGATAGTAGCTAAAAGGTATATGGTGCAGTTGCATATTTGAGATGCAATGAAAATGAGCTAACAAAAACATCATTTGTTAAATTCAAAGCAAGAGGTGTTCCGATAAAAAAGGTTACGTTACCTCGACTTTTAGGAGTTCGACTCATCACATACATTAGACATTCGTTGAAGAACTTAGAAATGAAGATTTATATGTGGACTGATTCAAAAATTGTACTACATTGGATCAAGGCTGATCCGACAAATTGGAAACAATTTGTATGAAATAGGTATCTAGAAATCCAAGAGAAAACTGATCCAGATTGGTGGAATTATTGTCCCAACCACGAGAATCCTTCAGACTTATTGACAAGAGGACAGAAAGTAGAAACTCTTTCAAAAAATGAACTGTGGTAGTATGGCCCACCTTCACTTGTTAAAGATAACTTTTAGCCCAGATCTTCGAGAAATTTTAATGAAGATGATAAAATAACAAATTCTGAGAAATGGAACAAGAAACAAGAGGAAAAATGAGAAAGAAACAAAGAAATCTTAACAGCAAACTGTATTGTTGAAAACAGTGAAACTATCATTCCTATCGAGAACTTCAGTGACATGAAGTATATAGAATAACATCTTATGTTTTCAGATTTATCAGTAATGTAAAAAAAACCCAAACTAAGAAGAATTAGACCTGAGATGGCTGAAGCAGAGAATTTCTGGATCAAGAAGACTCAGGAAGAAATTTTAGAGAAGAAATAAGGAAATTAAAGATGAAACAAAGCATAGATAGTTCGAAAATATTCACATGAAATCCATTTGTAGACTCAAATGGAATGCTCAGAGTAGGTGGAAGGCTTCAAAATTCTGGGTTAAGCTATTATCAAACATACCCAGCAATATTACCTGAGAAGTCTCATTTGACAGATCATATCATTAAAGATCATCACGAAACACAAGGACACATTGGTGTAGCTGAAACTTTAACTCAAGTTAGAGAAAATTTTTGGATACTCGGATTGGTCGACAGCATGTAAAGAGTAATATTAACAAGTGTGTGATTTGTTACAGATTTAAAACTAAGCCACTAAGTCAGGATATCGCTCCTTTACCAACTGAAAGAATCTCTTTGAGGCAAATCCCTTCGAAGTTGTAGGACTTGATTTTGCTGGTCCAATGAATACAAAGGATGAAACTGGGAAGGCTTATATTGCTCTGTATACATGAGCAGTGCATCTGGAACTAGTGTCTAGCCAAACAGCAAAAAATTTTCGTCTGTCCTTTAGAAGATTTATTTCAAGAAGAGGAATATGTCGAATGATATATTCAGGCAATGCAAAAACCTTCAAAAGCGCAGACAAGGATTTACAAAAACGATGGAATACTATCAAGGACACAGAAGTTCAAAATTATTTTGGTAATAAAGGTACTAAGTGGAAATTTAATGTGGAGAAGGTGGCCTGGTGGGACAGTTTTTGGGAAAGGCTTGTTAGATCTATCAAGTCATGTTTGAAGAAAATACTCATGAAGGCTTCACTTAAATTTGAAGAGCTGGAAACAGTTTTATTTGAAATTGAGGCAATATTGAATTCATGCTCACAGACTTATGTTTATAGTGAAGTCGGAGAACCAGAACCACTGACACCAGCTCATTTTCTAGTTGGACTAAGACTAACATCTTTACCATCTGGCAAATTTCTTGAACCTGATTCAACTAAAGACAATTTAACGAGGCAATATAAATACCAGCTGAGATTATTAGAAGGTTTTTGGAAAAGAGAATACTTACTTGAAATTAGAAACGTAAAACAAATTCAGAGAAATGCCATAACAGATCTTTTGAAGGGATCTTGAGATCCCTTCAAAAGTTCTAGTACATGAAGAAAAACTACCAAGATTATTATGGAAGATGGAGTTGTACAGGATTGTCATCCAGGATGAGATGGAAAAATAAGGGCTTGCATTATCCGTTTAGCTAATCGAAATCATCTTCGTCATCCTGTGCAGTTATTGTACCCATTAGAAATGACTTGAACACTTTGAACTGAACCCAGTGAATTTAAATTATGAACGTTTAAACTTGTAAAATATTAAAAACATTTAGTGTTTAAGATAACCTTTGATGAACCAGGAGTTCATCGAGGGGGAGGATGTTACAGTTTATGTTACTGACCACGAGAGGGCGTGGCTTCTGTATTTTTATGCTTGTTATATGCGGATTTTGACAAAAATGTAGTGGCAACAAAAGTAAAATGATGAATGTTCTAATGTAAAAATTTTTGTTGTAAATAGCTGTAAAAAAATAAAAATTTTGTGTGAAAACCAAAATGGCAAAGAAATCAAAGTGTCTTGTAAAATCATCAAGAAAGGTAAGCAAAAGATCATTTATCAGGTGTTAAATGTTAAAAATAAGAATGAGAAAAAGTACAATAATTTCAACAGACCCATACATTACTTCCTTCCATGTTGGAAAGTAATAAAATGATTTGTACATTTCGTCACCAATTGCGATTTTAGAAAGAATGCTGTGGCCGCCACTTTTAAATACCGTAATTTCGCACGTATAGTCCGCAGACACGATTTTATATAAAAAAAATTTCAAAAATCGTCAGATAGTCCACGGACTATATGTCCGAAATTACGTTTTTTTAATACGGCAATATTCCCATGCTTTTTAAACACATCCTTTTGTTTGCGCCAATTTCTCACTGCTTTCTCGTCCACTTCAAAATAACAGGGTAAAATCCTAGTATACGATGCAGCCTTGCGCGAGTTTGAAAATTATCGCCAACACCAAAATGATCAAAGAACGTCTAATATATATAGTATACACACATAGTATATGTATATACACCATAATATATATACTATATACTATGTTTAACTATATATTTTCTTTGAATGACCGTTAACTACTCATTGTATAGGTCCCTTTTCACTGCATCATAAAGTCGCCAAAAGTAGCCAAATCCCGGTGTGCACCGAATACTAGGATTAAACAATAACAGCCCGCTTCTCTATTTCCATCTTTTTCAGCTTTCTCAACTACCTTAAGTTTAAACTCAGCAGTAAAACTCCGGCGATGTTTCATCAAATTTATCGAAGATGAAAGACAAAATACGAAAACAAAATACAGTGCAACGTGCTATCCTCGTGATAAATGGTAATGAAATCTGACCTTCGACCCCACTCACTCGGTGTTGCCAAACCACGCTATAAGTAAATGAATCACGCTTTTTTTTTTTCGACTCCAGGTACTTTCTACTATGGCTCCTAAAAACCGAGTTGACGCATCAATTACTTTTCCCCCTCTCGGCAGTTGCGCTAAAGCAGTGTGAAGGATCTGGGATACAACACTTGGTTGCGCTAATTGAGGCTCATACAAGACTTTTTGGTCGTTCTCGCATCGCTTGATGCGCCAGCCTGGATTAGGAGCTCTATTGCTAGTACTATTCGTTCTGCACTATGGCTCTATGGTTCTATCGATACGATACATACGAATGTTTTCGGAATCTCGCGCTTTTTTTATATTGATCATCCAGTTCACGACGCAGTTTTTTAAATTCAACGATTTTAACCGGGAACCCAGCATATATCCTGGTATAGTCACAGCAAAATTCGCTTTTAACACAGATAGTCCGCGGACTATACGCGCGGAATTATGGAAATTTAAGTACTTCTTTACTGGTTTTGACACACTCCTCTTTTTGGTGCTCAGTTAAATTAAGGGGGACTCCATTGCAAACTAGATTTTGCCTGTGCAATTCTTGATGAATAATTTTATGTAAGTTTACGGATCCAATTTTAAGCTTCTTGGCACATCTTATTCGTCACCCGGCCCTTGGCTGTAGTGCGCTGATAGTGGTTTCTTCCTTCCGTGGGATGGTATTATCCTGTTCATTGTCCTACAGGACATCTTAGGTCAGGAACTGTCTCATCGGGTAGAGCTGTATCGTTTGGTAGGTGCAGCGATTATCATTCATTAACATTTTTTGCATGACAGACACATTATATAGGATTACTGCTGACAGTGGCTATCCTATGTGTTCTTCATCCTGAAGAGAGTTGATTTAATCTTAATTTCTTGATTTAATCTCATTTTAACATCAAAGTGATAAGGTGATAATGTTCTTGCATCAACTTAATTTTTCCTTTTGCCAAAATTTTATTCTGCGCTAAGCTACTTGCAATTGGCCAGTAAAAATTTGATTGCTAGGATCTAGCCTTGCTACTTATCCTCTCCATGTATATTGTATTTGATATTCAGAGGCCAACTACTTGGAAATCTTGATAGTTTCGGTTATATTTTAGTCAAGTTTGATTTCTTATTATTTTGAGTTCAAGCCCAAGTGGAGGCTTTGCTGTATGCTCTGAAACAGGAGCCGGCTGTACGCTCTTATTTTGAATAATAAAAGGGTAATTAACCCTTTGTAAGTTTTACGTCTCCGTTCTTTAACTTAAGCGATTATTTGCTTACCTGTTCACAAGGTTCTTACACATTTAGCTGTTAGATAAATGGTTGGAACGCCACAACCTGTGGTGGTTTAGTAGCGTATTTGAACCTTAAATTATATTAGCTGGGATACAGCCCTAGGAACTCTACATCTAGCTATGATACTAACTGCATCAGACAGATTGAACTTTCAAAACTTGCCAACCATACCTACATCAGACTTTCAAATCTGTTCTGATCGATCATCAGGTCTCTGTAGCAGCGGTAACAGCAGCCCGTCTTCTGTTACCAGTCATGCTGACTATAATTTTACTTCTTATTTTAACCTATGCTGTTTGATATAAAATCAACTTGCTCTTTACTAAACCTCTAGACTGAACAAATATGTGACAAAATGAGACATAAAAGAAAAAGTGAACATAAAACTGTTAGTAAAACATAAATAAAATGTCACTAATCTTCTTTCAAATATGCCCAACTATTGTAAGTGTAAAATATTTAATGCTACTTGATAAATTTTATAAAGTTGATTTTATTCTCAAATTTTGTTTCATTAATTTATGTTTAATAATAATGTATCCTGCTTATGGATCTATTTTCATTCTTAGGATGGTATTGCAAAAGTTAAGTTTAGCCATAGATAATATCTTTAATTGAATTTATTCAATTTTCTTTTGCTTACAGGTCCTTAATTTCCATGTGCAGAAATGTGTATGAACCCTGTATAGAGATTTAAAAATTTTATATGCTATGGATCTTCATATTAAAACTGTATCAAAAATTATTTAAAATGTGTCGATTATATAGGCATTATATTTTGTAAATGTTAACCTTGTTTTAAATATTGTTGTGAAGTGAATAATATTAAAGTAGTAATGTCTCTTTAGTAATTTAGATGAAGATATAGACATTGAAAGCTTCGAGAACCCCGCTTCATCTCCCTTTGAAAGTACAAAGAATAAGAATTTATCCAATGATTCTGAAAAAAGTTTAAGAAATAATCCTTTGTTTGCTAAAAACGATAAAGAAGAAACGGAAGAGTTAGATTTGTAAGTAATAATTTAAAGCATTTTTTCTTCATCTGAAAAGGCAGAGTTTTATTTTTTAAAATGAAGTGATATTTATATTAGATTTATTCTTTTGCTGAGCAGGAATGACCTTAGATTTGCTTTCAAGTATAAATTGTGTCTTATTTTCTCATCTATTTAATAATAAAATAGAGCTATCTTCTGTGTATAACATAGTGTAGATATAGATAGGTCTAAAGCTTTGCATGCTGGTTGTCCTGGATCGTTTTTTAATTAGAAAAGATTCATGATCATTATTTAATTAAGAAAAACTTGTATTTCGAAATGACTCTGTGTTCATGGAGTCCCTGGTGACTGCCAGCTGCTTAACTTGTCTCTGTACATGGTATAATTTTCTTAGTTGTGTATGGATGAAAAAACTTATATTCTATCTATGGAAGAAAGATTTCATGACAATTTAGTATTTAAGTTAACTGAATCTTTAATTCAGAAATCTAATTTACAACTTTCTGAATGAACACTTAATATAAATCTTTGTTCATCTAGTAATAAATTTAGAAAAAAGCAAAATTACAAAATAATTTTTGGCTAATAAAACAAATTCAAGTTTATTCTTTTTACTGGTACTGAAATTTATATATTGCAGTAAATATTTTTAATACAGAATAAATATTTAACCATCCAGCACGCGTGCTATGCACAAAATTTACGACAAATTCGGTTTTTAATGCACACTTCTTGCATATCGCAGTTGATATGTCTGAATATCATTTCTATTCCTCCTTTCAACCCTTCCCCACATCTTGGAATGGGCCAACAGGAAATCATATGACTTTTTATATTTTTTTACTCTACATGGCAGCTTCTTCGTAAAAGTTACGATACGCACGTGATCGTGGGTGAAAATTTAGAAAGTGTTTTTTCTCAAATATTTTGTATTATTAATTGATGTGTCTTATTTTAATTTGTATAAATTCGACTGTACAATTTTATATTGGTTTTCATGAAAAAAAAAAATAAAATAAAATAAAATAAATACATAATTAAATAAATAAATAAAATAAATATAATATAATATAATAAATAAATAATAATAATATAATAAATGTGAACCACTTTTTTGCTCACATTCTCAGATATCTGATGAAGAAAAGACAAGGAACCTTGGATGCAAGAATAAAGCATTGATGAGGAAAATCAAATAAATAATGCAGTAAATATGACAATATATTTCAGATGATATTATTCTAGTAGAAAGGATAGTATCTAGTGGCAAATAAAGTATCAACTGCTCAAGATGAATACGATGAATATTGTGAGGTTACTGGCCAAACACATGCTAGGATGAACGGAAATTTTTTAACTATTGATCTAAATAGCTGATGAATTTGGAATGTCAAAAAATATAAGTTTACTAAAGGGCAAATATCAAGAGATAGAGACTGCTTGTACCAAAGGAAACATGCCTACTTTGAATGTTATATATCATAGGAATGAAAAAGGCACCAGTATGCAAAAATGTTCTCAAGTGATGGCATGGAATGAAAAACAAGAGCGGTTGACTACAAGAGATTTGGATTTCTGACCAGTGTCTTCGATCAAGGATAAATCCCAGGCAGAACAGAGAATATTAACCAGCTTGGATTTTAAAATAAGTTATTAAACAATAATTTTAATTTCATATAAACATCATGTTTCCCCCAACTAATATAAGCATAAAAATAATTCTATCCTTAAAGGCCCTCATTGTATTTTGCAATAATACGTTTAAAGTTATGTTTTAACAAATTATTATAATATTTAATCATTTGTATTTTTCGTGCCCAAAACTGTAAAATAACAGATGTCGTAGAAAATACGACGTGCGCGTGCTCATGTAAAATTGCCAAGTGCGCATGCTGGAAGGTTAAAACACCTTTGGTTTTCATGCATATCTCTTTGTACATGTGTTAAATCTAATAAAAATTTACTTCCTTAGATGTTAGATTTTAATGTAATAATTTTATTTACTGAAATCATAAATATAGTATAAATTATTCATATTTTAAAATTAATTACTACTATTTATTTATTTAATTGTTTTTAAGAATAAAATTGTTATAATATTTTAATTAATTTTTTAGAAGTAGCTGTAATGAGAAACAGATTAAAGTATATAACCGTGTCATGGAGGTGCTAAATGCTGATAGATTAGCAAAACTGGTATGTACAGGATTATCCAACGAGCCAGTTAAAAAGAGGTTAGCCACTGAGAATTCTGCAGGAGCACTTAGGCAGATATTTGGCGAAATGCGTTGGGTTTGTATATATAATGTTTATGAAATAAATATATGACTAGTTTATCTTTTATAATTTCATAGGAATATTTTGTCTGCTTCAGTAATAATTCAAAAGTCTTTTTTTCTTAGGCTTTTTTGTATTTGATATTTTTCAAAATCATTTAGCTAAATACCTGAACACTATAAAAATAGGCAAAAAAGCTGGCTTAGATTGATCTTGATTTCGAGAATGACTGATGAAGATCCTTCTTGTTCAGGGGGTGGGGGCTTCTGTTTTCCCATTCTACTTTTATTAAAATTTATGGTGCTTAATTTTTGGTATCCCTTTATCTGTGAAACAGTTGCTAAGTAGCACAGTTTACTGTCAATTATGAATAAGCGTTATGTTACAGCACACACATAACATTTTCGCTTTTTTTATTTGATATAACTTTGATTGATTTTCTATTAGCCACCTTTTGTTTTTATGAACAAAAATATAAATTACATGCTATTGCTGTATTTTTCATTGCATTGTGCAAAAAAAAAAAAAAAAAAAAAAGGGGAGGGTAATTTTACAGATGCCGAATCACAATTATTATTGCACTCCAGTTCATTTATAGTTGGTCAAGAGAATTAACATTTGTTGAATGGGAAAAGAACAACTGCATATTGCTCGACCAAATGATAACAGAATGGAACAGTCATCTGCAGGCAGTTTGTATTCATAGAATCTTAAATGGAGATTCTTGTAGACCAGAAGGCCTTACAACATAATAAAAATAATTTGCAAGCTTTTTATGAAGTGCAGAAATGAAGCGGGTTCGATATTTTTGCAGCTGTTGCTATTTGGTGAATTGTGCAGAGAGACTAATGAATGTTTTACTTTATGTTGAATACAGAAGTGAGACTCATTTTGTTTTTTCCAAGTTTGTAATTTGTTTTATTTGCGTAATTTTACCTTTATCATCTAAGAATATCTGCTAAGAAAACTTTTTTGCATACCTTCTCTTCAAGAAATTTACAGGATGCTTGCAATTTTTGAAGTTTTATCACATGAGAAACTTTTCTTACTGCTATTTACAATTTGTTTGCGTATAGAACATTTATCTTTTTTTTTTTTTTTTCCTTGCTGTTGCATTACATCTCAATCAAAAATCCACTAAGTGATAAGAAAAACAATAAACATAAAATGAAAAAGTGCCATCCTCTTGTGTCCAGCAACATGAAACTGTTTAATAGCTCAGAAACTGCAGGAGTGATTAAAGCGAGGGAAGACCTAGCCAATTATGATTTTTTGTTGCATGTCCTAGCCTCCCAGTTCTTCATCTGTACTCTTTACTAAGGAAAAAAGTATTTTTCAGCAATAAAGGAAAATTATTGAATTAATGATACTTAAATTGTACAAATTTCATTTCCTTCCACTTCAGGTGACTTTAGCATAATTTTTCTTATTAAATTTGATCTGAATATCTAAATCTATTATAGACATTTGTAGAACTTCATGTGAAAACTCAAACAATGTTTAATCAGTAAACATTAGTAATTAGATTTGTTTTACACCAATGTATGGGGCATTGCTAAGTTTATTTCCATAGTTGTATGTACATTAATTATATAATTCTAATTTTATCTTGTTTGGAAGTATATTGGTAAGTTAAACTTTCCTTTTCTACTCAAGATTTTTTGAGTATAAAAATGTAAGAAAATTACAAAATGAAATTAGCCAAAAAAACATAAAATTTAAGATATCTAATTAAATATTAATGTATTTTTTTTACTTCAGCATCAAATTGGAAATATCCGAGTAACCCATTTCAAGCATTATAAGGCAAATACCAGTTGGTTTGGTGTTCTTTTGAAAATGTGCATATGTGCAGCATAAAAGCTCTTTGGGCATGAGATCTCCTCCTTTTTTATTTTAAGGTTGGCAGCTATGTGATGCATTGTTCTTTCCTTTAAAATAAGTCTGCTCGAAGATATTTCTGTTTATCATTCTTGCAAGAACTGTATTTATAATTTATCATCCAAAGACATGATTATAATTGTTCTTAGGTATCTTTGATTTATCTTTTGGTTGAAGTAATAGGTTGTCCCCGAGTCAAATGCACTGTATTTTTTCCGAGAACTGACAACAAAGCTTTGATTTCTGGTAAAAAGTTGTGATTAAAGTGAAACTGAATAAGAGAAATATCTGTAGTTAAATGGTGTCATGAATTTTAAGTGATTTTTTTCTGCACAGAATTCTTAAACATTCTGTGTTTAAGACTTCATGTATGTGTAAAACGTTCATACATGTGAAAACAGTCATTAATTTTCTTTTATTATGTTTTACATATTTCTGAATATATAAAATTTTTATAAACTACTTACGCTTAAGTACATAATTTAAATCTAATTCTAGACATCCAGGGAAGCACTTTTTTAATTATTTGTAAAATAACAGAATTTAAGCTTCCCCCCCTTTTTTTTTGGTCCGAGTGCTGGACACTTGCTTGAAGGCATTCATTAAGAATGGTCGAACCCATTGTGCATTTAGCTTCTTTCTGAGAATGTTTCCATAGTGCACCATGGGTTAGATTGATACTGCATATGCAAGAGAGGGTCCAAGACATAACATTACATGGGAATCATTAATTAATAATTACATGGAAATTAAGCATGGGAATCAAACATGAGCATAGCATTTCTGAAATCCACAACTCATCTCCAGTCTCTGATACTCTAGTCTTCATCACTACGATCGGGCACATTTCATAGCATGAGTTAGGGAGACACATAGAATTCTCACATAGCCCATTTATGCAATTTTTCACTCTCCAGTTTATGTGGATACTTCAGTTCCTATAGCTGCAGCACACCACCTTATAGTCTGATCTGATGCCATTTATCTATTTCTTGTAGAAATGGTAAGTCAAATAATGATCCTTGTCACAACAGTCTGTTGTGACAAGTTTTTGGTATTGACCTGATTGTCTACATTTTTGGCTATTCTTAAATCCATATAAACTTATATCAGTATCTGTTTCATTTTCCCAATTACACATTGCTCTTCATAATTCATCCGATACCTTATCATTCTGCCTTCCACATTAAAAAAAAAAAAAAATCCAATTCTTTAATAGTCTTAGAATTAGAATTTGAAGTACCTTTCCAACTTTTTTTCCTATATACCAAAAGAAAGGATGGAGAAATTTTGCATGTTTCAGTCTAGTGAAAATGACTACCAACACTGACTTTGTGCTATCAGCCACTTTTCATTAGTCTTCACTTAACAGAATTAATATAAAAGCTAGTTATTCCTTTAATTTTCCCCCACTTCTATATTATAAATATAACTATTTTAATTTGTTTTATGGTTTTGGAGAGCATCTATTTTTTTAACTATATTCAAGTTTCATTTTATATGTAAAACTGATTTTTTTTCAATTATGAAAATTGTTAATTAAGAAAAAATCCAAATGCTTAAATCAAAGTTATCAATCAAATTTTTACTCCATTCTTTTCAAATCTTTTCCTAATTTTATAATAAGTAATTTTTGTCATTCATTTCCATTTATCTGGTCACAAGACTTAGATAGTTGCTGAAATGTTTTGAGAAGTGTGTAAAGTATAAAGCACAAAATAATGAAACTATTACAATGATAGAGGTTTTTATTTCTAGGAAATAAAATAATAGAATATATATTTACTTGTGTTTGATTAATCTAGTCACTTTCATTCAAATCTATAATTCTGAACAATACTGCAGCATATTTTGTCTAAGTAGAGATGAACTATAAATAATAAACACTCGGGGTTTTTAGTACAATGTCAATAAAAGTTCTGTTTTATCATCCTTATAGGAAATGAATTTGTTATCGTGGCTTCATAAAACACTCTTAGATAAGGCTGATATTCCAACTCTTTCTAGTTATGTAGATGTGTTACAAACATTAAGGACAAAAGTAGGTTGTCTATATATTTAATAACTACATTTTTGTACTTGCTTTATTGTGTTTTGGTGTATATTTTAATTAATGCAACTTTTTCAAATATATTTCAATAGGTGCCTAGTCTAGTTGATAAATTCCTCCAATTAAATTCTGGTTTACCTGCAAGAGATGCCATTTCTCAGATGATAAAGAAACAATGGGATCCTGTACTTCCTCTGCTTAATCAGCACAAACCAGTAAATCATTATTTATATTATTTTATAATGAATTAGAAAATATGTTATCTAGAATTTAAATATTAAAGAATTCCAATAGACCACAGATTGTGTGAACAGAAGTTTGTAGATTGTAGGGAATTGTTTTGAATTTTGTTTATGTTTTTCTTTTTCTGATTTTTATGTTGTGTTTGAATTGAATGCAAATAAATAAATGATTGAAAGGTATTCATAGCTTAAGAAGTATTTAATCAAAATTTATCAACTGTAAAATATTAGCAATCATATAGTATGTGATCTACCCATTTTAGTTAGCTAGTTATTTCTTAGATGGCACCACTTAAACATTATTTTAAAATTTGAATGTGATAAAATGATGGGAAAAAGAAATGACTAAAACAGCAACCAATTTTAGTTCTGCCATCTAAAAAATAAATAATTATCTAAAAGTGATAGACCACACATACTATACAATTAGCAAAATATTATATTTAACCCTGAGTGGTACGGCTTTTTGAATCTGTTCATGTAAACTTATATTTAAACAGTATTTAATATCTAAATTTATATAATTACTTATTTTAGTCTCTATTTTCATGAACCCCATTCATTAAGATCATGTTTACATCATTAAAGAAAGTAAGAAAACAATATATTTTAAATTATAAACTAATACAATAGGAGACAAAGAAAATCTCATGACCGAATAAAGGTGGTCTTGCCACTCGGGCTTAATGGTTATAATTTACCACAAAACTGTATTACATATACAAAAATGTATAAATACTTTTCAAATACAATTTTATACAAAAATATATTATCAGTACAAAAAAAAAAAAAAAAAAAAAAAGTGTAGTGGAGAGGGAAAAAAAAAAGTATATGATAGGGAAGTTTCTTGAGGAAGTAAAGAAATCTTTTAATTTTGTAGGGGAAAAAAATGTATGCATACACCAGTGAAATTGTTTTTAAAGAAACTTTTATATTCTTCAACAAGTTATAAATAAATGCAGTACAAAATCTGAGATCCAGACTCGTCGGGACTTCGGCAATTCCGGATATTAGATCATCAGTTTAAATCTAGTAAGATGGCATGTAGAAATTATAAAATTAAAAATATGAATCGGGATTTATGAAATAATGAAGCATTTATGATCTAAAGGATATCAAAATTTACAAAAGCTTAATATTTATTTGTTTATTTTAAACATTTCTTTCACTATAAGTTGTTTAAGTTGCTTCGTTTTTTGTGCTAAAACTTTCTCTTTAATTTTGTAGACAGACATAATTTCTTATTCACTTACATAGTTGAAGTCCTGTAATTGGTGTGTGGAGAATTCCAACTAATTTGTCAATCAAAATATTTTTGTTTTCCGTAACCTGTCTGTCACTTTCTTCACTATCGGTAGCGGTATTTTCTGAATTTTGAACCATACAGTAGATTTTGCCATCCGTTAATTGATTGATGATTAAGGAGCATTGTCTTCACAATGAAAAACTTCTTTTATATAATCTTCATTTATTACTTTTTCTCCACATTTCTTTACAAAATGAGTTAATTGGAAAATTTCACCTTTGGTTTGTGATATTCGAAAACCTTTAAAATTTGTGGCTACCATCATAAAATTCAGCTGTCGTTCACTATACATATTTGGCTATGTATCATGATACTGGCAACTAAAGACAAGTTGTTCCACTAAATTTTATTTTGCTTCTATCACGCACTGAGACAATTACACCTGAATTGTGTTAGTTTAGTTATTTATTATACTTATGTCTAGTTCTTGCACATGCTTAAGGCTTATATAAGTCCTGAATAAATAAATTCCCACATATACTTAAGGCTTGTGAAGGGTGGAGCTAGATATCTTACTGCCTGATGCTGTCTCTGCAAATCCTAAATTCTGCTACTAAGCATCTTCCTTTGTCTTCCCTAACTTCTGCCGTTCGTTGTGGCCATATGATCCCTGGCGCTGCTTCTGGGCTTATGTGAATAACAAATCAGTTGTTATTCTTAATTCAAATAGCATTAATGTAATCTTTTGGTGTATGAGTATCATTAAGAAAATTTATTTTTAGCATATGGAAAGAAAGTTTTACTCCAGCATTTCTTAGCACCTTTAACTTACATCTGTAATCATTGCCAAGCATAATGTCAACACAAAAGGTTACCATACTCTTCATTATTCAATTACTAACATAAAAAATTGTTTAGGCGTTGCTATACGAGTATCATTACTTAAGTTGTCATGTGTTGATAAACATGCAGTGATGAAAGCAAAATATAATAATGATTTGCCAGGTTGGCATCGGGATATAAAATATTAGTAGGTGTAAATTCAACGATGTATCTATGTAAAACGTTTCAGTTTCGGATGTAAGTCAAATAGGCAATTTGGCAGCTGCAGAGCCAAATTATTGATGATACAAATTTATGCTAAAATGATTGTTTCTTCAATAATGAGGTTTTTTATTTAGTGTGGAAATGAAATTAAGAATTGGGACTCTTCACGTGTTTTTATTATGCTCGGGGGGGGGTATAAAATGTGCATGCATAAAGCATACAAACAAAAGAAAAAGTTGTTCATGTCTTTGAGTCCAGATTTTAGATCATTCCAGATATTGGACGTCCGAATCTTGGACTTTGTACTGTACATATAGGGTTTTGAAACCCAACAGTGTGATTAATTGAAGTCCTAAGATAATTCTGCCATTGTATTCTATTCAGGTGCAGTTAATTTAATAATACAATTAGCAATTTAAAAAGATGTTTGAGTTGAAATTTTGGATTTATTAAGAAAAATCTGTTTTTTCAGACTCTTTATCATATTTTCCATTTATAATGTCTGATAAAATCACTGAACACTTATAGTTTGACCTGAGTTCAATTTCAGGTGAACAGGCTGGCTGTTTGACCATTTTTATGGTTTCTCCCATGTGTAATATGGATATGAGGCAGTTTCTGTTAGAAAGTTCTTCATGAAGGCATTTCTCCTCTTAGGCACATAGCTTTAGGTTCCTTTGCCATAATTAAAAATAAACCAGCTTTTTTTTACTGCCAAAAATCTGTATAGGTAAATTTTAAAAATCCATTCGTATTTGCTAATGTTTTAAAGGAAGATTACTTATTGTACAAAATGCAAACAGACTGACTAATATGAGTGTATTTAAATTGGAACTCAACATTAGAAAAATTGCTGATAAGTAAACTCTTTTACACCTGTTCACCATGTAAACTTAGTCTTAAAAGATAGCTGAATATGCATTAAAATTCCAAAAGTTAAGATATATCTAAAACTGGAAATTCACAGAGTTTAGGATATTTATTTTTTTGTAAAAAAATGTGTGGTGCAGTGCTCACAGAATATGTTAACTAACTTCTATAATAAATTAAGTATGCTTTTTTAGATGAAAATACTGTATAAATATAATGTATTTTCATCACAAAGTTTATTTGCTTATTGCTGTTATATTTTCAGTGCTGAATTATCTGAAAATGATTATTTTGTTTATTTACATTAAGGAATGATTGCAGATCATTGGCATTTCAGGATTAAGCAGTCATGAATTATTAGTTTTACTGTATTTAATTTTGTAGTTATGAAATTTATTATTAAAGTAAACATTATTTTATTTTTGTACGGATATCACATTTATCTGAATATACTCAGCCCTCCCCCCCAGTTTTTTAATCTAAACATTTGTGGTTTTATCTAAAACATGTTAACAAGAAGTACTAAAGTTGTCAACATTTTAGAGCTCATACACCCCAGAAATTTACAAATATGTATTTCTAATTGTATGCTATAAAGATTAAACTTCAGGAAAAATTAAGATATAACAGCATTAACAGGTATAGCTCATAAGATCATAGATATCAAGTTTCTTTAAAGGAAGTGTAAAAGAAATTTTATGCAAGGAATGAGGATTATAGAAGTTATTGCAGTGCTGATTCACTCGAAATGTTTGGAATTTGTTTAATTATTCGTATTGGACATAATAAATGAGATGATTATTGTTTAACATATGCAAATATCTTTATATTGGTAAAATAACATATTTCTAAGGGTAGGAATAGAATTATGCAACTTTGTTAAAATAATAAACAAATCTTAAATTTAAAAATTATGCTTAGAAATTATTTTTACTTATTTATTTACATAAAGAAAAATTGCCTGGTAATCCTGCTGTGATTTTGTCCCAAGTGAGCCTCCCATCCAACAACATGTTAGTGAACATCTTTCTTCCAAGCTTAAATTTTGGCATAATAATTTAAATTCTTTATAGCAGATTATCAATCTACCTTTAAAAGTATAAAGTGTTGTCCGCTACTTGACAGTTTTGTTTTCATGCAGCGGCACTTTGAAAAAAGTAGTACAGTCAAAAGTCGTTAATTTGGACACCCATAATACGGAATGATCTATAATCCGGACCTCAAAGCTAAAAACTTTCTCCGCATGCGCACAGGCGTTTTACGCGTGCGCGTAAGACCTTGACTACTGCGCATATGCGTGCGCGCAAGTGCAGAATACGTTTTCGCCTGCGCATTTAATGTATAATGGATGGTGTAAGCTAAAATTATCTAATTATCTATTTCAGTTAATGTTAATCATTGCATAATCTTCGAATTGGATCCCGCTTATTATTTTTTGAAGACTGTAAGAGCAATTTTATAAAAGTAAACTTGAACTTTCGATTATGTCAAATAGAATTTCCGATGCTGGAACTTCCGAAGGATCTACAAAACGAAAGTATGTTTCGATGTCCACAAACAAAAAGTGTAATTGCTGCAAAAAAATGGACAAAGACATGAGAATGTGACAGAGAGGTTAGTGAAAAACGAAAAAAAATTTCGATTGACAAGTTAGTCGGTATTCTCGGCACAGCAATTAACGGGGCTTGAACAGGGGAACTTTGTAACTGAACAAGAAATTATGTCTGTTTATAGAATTAAAGACTTTACTTTTAAACGAAGCAACTTAAACAACTTACATTAAAAGAAATGTTTAATAAAGTAAACAAATAAATATAAAGCTTTTTTTTTTTTTTTTGTAAATTTTGATACCCTTTAGATCATAATTGTTCTTTATTTCATAAATTATGGTTTCATATTTTTAATTTTAGAATTTCTGCATGCCATCTTACGAGATTTAAACTGATGATCTATAATCCGGAAAAATCGATAATCCGGAATCGCCGAAGTCCCGACGAGTCCGGATTAACGACTTTTGACTATATATGGAAGGCTACATTTGTGGTCTTTTTGAAGAATGTTATTTGTATCTAGTTATTAAAAAACACTGTGAAAGCCATGTTTTTTTGATATTTAAAACTATGATTATTGTCAACGAGAAAGGGAAAAAAGTTTGGCTTCAAGTGGGAAAGTTGTTCCAAATACATATCCAAGGAAAAAATGGAATATTCGAACCTTGTAAAGGTAAGATCTTTAATGTTGACAAAAAAAAAAAAAAAAGTCCGTTAAGTCAAAGGCAGCAACAGAATAATTAAAATGCTTAATATCAACTGTAAAAAAAGTGATTAATGTTGATTTGTATCTTAATGCGAGAAAACGTAATGTGATAGTCTTTCTCCATGACATATCGCTGAAAGCAGAATGCACTGCAGAATTCTTTATGAGAAACATTTATCCAGGTAAAAATGGAAAAGTGTTGTCAGAATACATGAATGTTGAGTGTGTTTAAATGACCTCAATAAAAGGAAATCCATTTATTATCATCAAAGTGAAGAAAAAAATCTAAGAGAGATTCTAAGAGATTTATGATTGTTGTTGGTTTTTTATATAACAGCAAATTTAAAATAAATGGACTGGATAAAAATTTTAAGATCAACTCTGCATATTATCAGTAACATATTTTATACCCAATTTTCAAATATGAAGTACCATCTCTTTACTCACAGTGCCATCAATCAGTAGAACTGCAACAAGAAATGGATATCAAGGCCATAACCCTTCACTCATATCCCTACTAAATCTTTTAACATATCGCCCATTGGTTTTTACACTTTTGCACTTTTAAAAAATTCATTGTCTAAACATCAACCTACAACTCTTCTTGAACTTTGGAAAGCTGTTCAAGATTATGATTTTGAAAGATAGTAGAGAATAAGGGTTATCAAATAGAACATTTAAAACAAAAAAATTTTAGGTGAAATACAGTGAAAATTGTCTAAAAAATGTTTGAACAGCCTCTGTATTCATTTGATAAGATAAGCATGATCAGTGAAGATTGTAACTTCCGTGAGAAATAATAACATGATTATTGTTTACTGCAAGTAGATGTATATCTTGTTTATCTGATTGTGAATGATATAATAAAATATTTCTAATAGTAGAAATATAAATTATAAAACTTTATGAAAATAATTAGCAAATTTTAGATTTTAAAATTATGCTTAGAAATTATTATTTTTATTTAGAAAAAATTGCCTGGCAATCCTGTTATTCTTTTGTGCCCAAGTGAGCCTCCCATCCAACAGCATATCAGTGCACATCTTTCTCCCAGGCTAAAATTTTGGCATAATAATTTAAGTTCTTTATGCAAGATTATGAATGTTCCACTTTATTCCTTTGATAAGGAAAACATGACCATTGAAGACTGTATCGATCAGATTGTAACTTCTGTGAGAAACAAAGTTGCTGAGGTAGGTAAATATAGCTTAGATTTTTGATTTGCTATGAATGATTATTGCAATTTTTAATGAATATTATTAAAGTGACTCTTGTATTAAATTATTAACTTATATATTCCTCTTGTTATTAGCAATTATGCAAGTCATATTGCCTGCAGATGCTGCATTTTAGAAATTATAACCTTTATGGCTTTATTTATGAAGTTGACTAATGTGTGAAGCATTTTGGATGGATTTATTTACTCAAAAGTTTTGTGATAATAATGTTTCTGTGAACTTATTGATGTAACTGAAAACAGTTTGAATTTTATCCTATTTATTTAATATACTTTTTTTGGTTTGTGAAGTTAAGTGTTGTGCTTTGCTTTTCTGTTGTCATACGTTTTAAATTGTCGATCTGTTTGACTTGTTATTGAATTTTTATTCTCATTAATACATATAAATTGTTAAATACAAAACTGTCTTTGAAAGCTTAATCCTCCAAGTGACACATTTTTTGGATCTGATCATCAAAAGCTATGTTTTTACAGCATTTGTTAGCTAGATTTGTATAATTATTTATTATTCTCTTGTTTTCATAAGCTTCTATTCATTAGGACATTTAAATCATTAAAAATATCTGTATAATTAGGTGCTTGGAAAAACTTTTTATTAAGAGAATTCGCTGTGCCAAGAAGACTTATTTTCTAGTGAACAGTACAGTTTTATACCTCAGAGGAGTATTGAAGATGCTCTTTTATGCTTGAATGAGATTGTTCAGAGAGGTTAAAAAGAAACATTTGTGCACTATTTTGGTTTTGCTTGATACGAAAGGTGTCTTTAGTGCATGGTGCCCTTGTATTCTTGAATTTCTTAAAAACATGGAGTTTTTAGTGAATATTTTATTCACTTGCTGCTGACATTTTAAATGATAGGCTGCCCAGATTGCAACATGGCTCAGCTTTTCTAATATGTTGCCTTGACAAGGGTTGCCTTCAAGGCTGAGTTTCTGGACCATCGTTTTGGAATATTATTATTAATGATCTCATCTCAAAGTTTTAAATTGGATTTTAATCCTGATAAAACTAGAATCATGATTATTGAAAAGCAAAACGTTTGTTATCATGCATTTCAGTTCTTTCTCGATGAAACTCTATTGGCTGTGGTAGGGGAATTTCTTGAATGTAAATTTTCTTGGAAGAGACACTGAACTTGCGTATCAGAGAGATGTGATAAATTATGGCATGGATTAAGTTGAATTGCATGCAATAAGTATGGTATTGATTTTAACATACATTCACTCATCTATAAGTAAGGAATTAAAGCCTTCATAATGTATGGCTCTGGAGTTTTGAGTATGGCGCTTAAGAAGAAAATGCATTATATATATCTGCATCACATTCAAAAGCGGATATTTCTACGGGTCATTTGTGAATATCATACCATAAGTTTTGTGTCTGTTTATGCTATTTCTGTTTTCCTCCATTCGACATTGTCATTCTTCATGATATTGCCTTTAGGGAAAATCTGGGTGCTTTTTCTGTTTCTAGTTATGATTGTGTTTTGCCTTCATCTGTTTCCTCATCTGTCAGAAAGAAATGCTGTTAATGTTATTTAGCAATAAAATTGCAGTATGTAATAACTTGCGATACTGATGGTAGTAAAAGTGATGGCAAAGTTGGTTTCATATTTATTGCTTTCAGAAATGGTCTTAAATTCAAGCACTTTCAATTTAGAATTTGAGATATGTGCATGGTTTTTATAACTGAACTGTTCTCCAGATTCCTCTGTGGATAGTGATAAATGTGAAGATTCATTTTCTATTCGAAATGTTTGACAGTGATGCAAAATTGATATGCAAAATATTCCACCAGCTCTTGCTCCATTTCCTTTCTTGGCAATCACTGTGAAATGATTATCTTCTTTATAAAAAGGATAACACATTGTGAAATATAATGCTTTTAGAGTTCCGTTTGCAAATTATTGAGCTAAGCACTTGGAAGGAAATTCTAGTTTTTACCCTGGCAGTTGTTGTTCAATTCTCAATCCCATGAGACTAACTGCTCGACATTTTGCTGGCCATAAAAATTTGGAAAATTTTAATTCCTTCTTGATTTTGTCTGCTTGGTATTTATATTACTTTAAGCAATATAAATATGAGGCATATTCGGAAACTAAGTACCGTTTTGAAAAAAAAAAAAAAAAAAAAAAAAAAGTAAAAAAATTTTTTCGAATCCAATTTTATTTTTACATGAAAATACATGTCTTAAACTATTTTTCAACATAGTTTCTGCTGATCATCAATACTTTCATAGCGGTGACCAGTTTTGTATACTATCAAAGAACTTCCCGCCAGTTCGATAACCCACGACTCCACAGCATTTTTCGTGTCATCGTTCAGATCCAAAGCACTTGCCACAAAAGCTCGCGCTTCATGTGCAAGGAAACAAGTGATAGTCGGACGGCGCCAAGTCCGGGCTGTACGGCGGGTGATCGAACTGCTCCCATTGAAACTGTCAAATTAAAGATTGAGTGACACCAGGAGTATGGGGCCGAGCATTGTCATGGAGCAACGCAATTCCTTTACTGAGCATCCCTCTTCGTTTGTTTTGAATGGCACGCCTTAGTTTTGTTAAAGTCTCACAATATCGTGCCGCATTAATGGTTTCACTTCTGGGAAGAAATTCAGTAAGCAAAACACCTTTCCTATCCCAGAAGACATTGCACATAATTTTTTGTGATGACATTGTCACTTTGAACTTTTGTTTTTTCAGAGAATGAGTGTGTCTCCACTCCATCGATTGTTTCGATTCTGGTGTGAAATGACACAACCAAGTTTCATCACCTGTCACAATTTGGTTTAAAAAGTTTTCTCCCTCATCACTGTACCGCGTGAGAAATGTCAGGACACTACCAAGTCGTTTTGTTTTGTGAACATCAGTGAGCATTTTTGGAACCCATTGGGAACACAGTTTTCGATAATTCAAGCAGTTAGACACAATTTTGAACAAAGCAGTATGTGAAATTTATGGAAATGCCTCTGAAAGAGTTGTGATTGTGAAGGGTCTGTTCTCATGAATTGTTTCATCAACTTTCCTTACCAAATCATCGGTGACAACAGAAGGCCGACCACTCCGAGGCCTCGGCGTGGACATTTGTTGACCGCATTAAACATTCTTACCCACTTTCTCACCATTCCATCACTTTCGTGTATTCAGGTAAGCTTCTGTCACTGACAAAAATTTCGGCCTTTTTTAACATTCCTTCATTCAAAAATTAATCACGGCACGAATCTGCAGTCAGCGGGAGAAAGTAATTGTCTTAAACATTTTGAATGTGCACAGCAAACTGAAAACACAACATAGAGCAACCAAAATGGCAACAATTGAAAGTCAGTGAACAAGAAAGACTAGTGCGCATGCGCGGGACGCCTACCACAGCGATGCGACGGCACTAGAATGAAACGGTACTTAGTTTCCGAATACGCTACATATTAAGAAGACAAAATCAAGATTGCAGAGAGAAAGATCTGAAGTATTTTGGTAAACTGAACTATGTTTACAATAAAACTGCAGTCATTTAATATTATTATTAAACTTTATTGCATAAATTCATACAATCCTGTGTTTTCTTTTGCAGATTAAAAATCAGTATCCAAATCGACCTGTTATATTATTGGGTTGGACAGTTGGTGCATTAATTGCATGTCATGTATGTATCCTAAAATATTTGTATCAAATCTTTTTTTTTTCTTTTATATTTTTAGTCCATATATTAATAGAGTGTAGTTGAGCAACTATGCAGCATTCAAATTCTGTATATGTGTGATTTCTTTTTAACAGCAACTGAAATTTTTTATTAACTTATAACCAGTAACTAATCATTGCTATGTGTTGACAGTGATGCGAATTAGAAATTTTAAATGAGAGAGGGAATAGGATAAAATATCTATGCTTTGAGACTATGTAGAATGCTTTGAAAATATGTATAACATTTGCTTTGTAAAAATCCATTGTAAGGGAAGACTTATAACAATATAGAAGTTCTAGTGTAAGTTCTACTGCTTATTAAACTCATTAATAAAACCAGCTGTTTATTATGTTCAGATTTCCAGGAACAAAAATAAACATATGCTAATCAATAGTAAAATCATCATTTATTAAAGTCATGTCCACCACTTATAAAACTCAATTTGGCAAAAGACTGATTCTTCATTACCAGAATATCCTTCTTGCACCTATCAAAATTATATGTAGTTCATCCATTTAACTTATTGTGGATAATGCCCTATCTATCACAGAGTAGTGTGCCAATAAAATGTAATTGACTGTGTTTGTTTGAAACTTGGAAACATGAGCTTTGAAATCGATTAATCTCTGGAAGTTGTTTTTTTTTTTTATTTATTTGGGGGGGGGGTGCTTCACTTGTAACATATCAAAAATGCCTGAGCAAAGTTTCAAGCCTAAATAGATTTACATGTTAAAAGATCTAGATGTTCTTAGTAAGTGCAGCCAGAGAAAAAGTGCATTCAAGTTTGGAATTTCCCAAACAGCATTTTGTAATTTACTTTAAGAAGAATTGCTGAAGATCTGCTAATGTATCAAGGAAGTGCAAAAAGGAAAATCAAGACATTGAAACTGTGTTGCAGAATATTGTCAGAACACACATTAATATTTAAAAGTGAAACAGCAGCAATTTTAAAAAACTCAAGGAGTGAGTTACTATATTATTAGTAAGTGTAACTATTAGTTACTATATTAAAAGTAATACGGACCCTACGGTTATGAAGATAGCCCTTGAGGTTATTGACAAAAGCAGAAATCCTTATTGTCTAATGGTTGAAAGAATTTTTTGCTTATTACCATAGCAATAAGAGCTCATTGATGACGACAATTTTTTTACTGATTTTCTTTTGGAATGAGACAGCAAACTGAAAAGAAAAAACAATTGCTTTGCTAATTAGATAACTTTGCAGTGTACACTCCTGATCTCTTTCTGAAAAGCATTAGTATCTCTAACTGCAAATACAGCTTTTAAGATTCAGCTTTTTAAGCAAGGAATTGATATCATGTTTTGCAGTGCACAGATCAACATGTTTAAATTCAGAGGCTTAATAAACTAAAATAATATGTATGAAACAGAAGAGATGGTACTTTTCTGTGCACGTGTTTTTGTGTGTATGTATGTGCGTTATATGTGTATTTGTCCATATACATGTGTTTTTGTATCTGGTCCCAGTAACAGAAGACTACTGAAGGGATTTTAGTAAGTGGTGGTTACTGTACTTGTCCCATCAATCATAAAATTGTCCCCAAGAAGCGAGATTTAGCCCCAATTATAAGCTTGACATAACTCGTAATGTCAAGCTTATAATTAAGGATATATAATGTCAAGCTATGATTTCATTTGATGCAACTTCAATTGATTCTCGACAAGCCATATTTTGCTTTTATGACCAAGGATATACATTAACTGCTATTTTTGTATGCTGCAGTTTTGTCTACAACAGAAATGCAAGAGCAGTGAAATGTTATGTGATCCTATTACTACTAAAAAAATGAAGAAGATGTATTAATGGACACAGTGTAGTCAGGTGAATATACCCAGTGAAACAATAATAGATAAGAACAATTACTTTGGGGAAATTTGTTCTCATGGCATTCTAAATAGAGCTTCCAGTAAAATTGGAAGCTTTCTTACAAAGTGCAAAAATGAAGTGGCTTAAATACTGATTGATTATTAAATAAATAGATATCAGTTCCTTCTAAATTTCACAGGCACAATTCATGCCATTTTGGCAGTATCTCCACTAACTTTTATGGTCAACAATCAGAATAATATGTAAATGCTGAAGTTCCTTCTCAAAGCATATTGTATTTTTTAATTTTGAAAGGTTGGGAATGATGTGCTGCTGTTATATATTTCATTTACAAAATGAAGCCCCTCCAGAATTACATATTTTCTTTTAAAAGTTCTGTCTGTTTGTTTTGAATGGTTTAGATATATAGATTATTTTTATTTGCTTCACAATAATGAAAAACAATATGAATTTCTCTAACATTTATAGTTATTCCATTGTATTTCATAGTAAATGCTTAGGAAATATTTAATCACTGATATTGAAATTTTTTATTTAGTTCATTAGGCTTGATCAAGAGAATTACAGCTTTTGGTCATGAAATTTTTTTTTTTTTTTTTTTTTTTTTTTTAAAGTTTAATTTCAGTGTTAACCCTATCAATAGAAGCCTTTCATCTAAAATATGCATATTTGCCAAATAAATAGTTTATTTAAGAGAAAAATTAGATTAAGTAATTTATTATAGAGAAAACTTCAATTTTTAAATTCTAAAAAGGTATAAAATTTATAATTTGACTTTAAAAAATATTAAGTGAAATATGCAGAAATATAGAAACACTTGTAATTATTTTGTCCTAAATTTCATGAAGAGATTGAGGAACATTTTTTAAATAATTCTAAAAAAACTTCATGAATTAATTTTTGTAAAGATAATAAAAACCATGATAAAAGTGCATACATGGTATTATGACTACAGAAAGTTAAGCTTTTGATTAAAAATTGATCATAGGCTCTCTGTTAGTTTAAAGAGCTGCTGGTGTTTAATGGATTACTAACAGAAGTGCAAGGATGTTATAGAACAAATAAAACAGACAGAATATTTTACACACGTACATATATTTTACTTTATTTATAATATTTATTTATTCAAAATGACTCCACGTAAAATTGGTTGATGAATGATATGAGAAATAAGATACATAATTTAAGATGTCTGCAGTTATATTTCTTGTAAATGTTAAATCTAGAAATGAATTGTCAAGTTTACTTGGATAATTACTTGGCACCATATTGAAATTAAAATGATGTTTCATAAAATCAAATGCCTTTTCATTTCATTTTACATCTACACTTAAATCTCCCATCAGAATAATAGGAACATCTGTATCTACAGGAAACTCTTCATCAATCGAGTATTTCACTAATGCAACTAAAGAAGAACATCTTCAAATCTCTCAAATTAACAGTTGGTTGAATATATACAGATGCTAAAGTAAATCTTGATTGTCTATTAACAATTACATCAACCATATAAATATCACCTGCTTCTGAATCCTGTATTCGGTTATGCTGCATAACAGTAAATTCATTTGGTACATAATCTGCTACACTCGTCACATTTCTATAAATTGCAACACCACCAGCTTAGCAAAATAAAATAAATTGCCTTTGAACACAAATTACCACCAGAACACACTGATTAACTGATATGTGACTGTCTACCAGACGACCTTGTCACTCATACACGATTGTGCTTGTGCATGGAGCTTTGATATCACCAAAATTTTGCAATTTTTGGTGGGATACTATGTGTATGTCCTTTGTCCAATTTTTTAATTAAAATTTTTATTTTTATTTATCTATTTGTGTGTGTTTGCTAATCTGTTGTTTTGCCTAATGATATATTTAGATTGGTTGTAACATTCATAGTTTCGAAGATATAAGCATTTGCTCAAACCTCAAAGCATCTTAATTTTTGCTTTTCTATTAAGACCATTATGAAGAAATGTGATCCTACATTAAAAATGATTTATGTTTCTGACATCATTTTTGCTTTCTTTTATATGTGTTTTCATTTTCAATTTGAATATAATGCAATCTTTTCATTTCTCAGGTTGCACTTCTTGAATCAGTGACTGCTGTTATTTGTTTGGGATTTCCATTAACTGGAGTGAATGGTTCTCGAGGGGTATAATTTAGATTTTAACATTAAAATAAAAATTACTTTATAAAATGTCTGTCATGCTTCTGGTCATTTGCTTAAAATTATTTTGTCTGCTCTAAGTATACTATGCATTTTATAAAATGATTTAATAGGCATATTTGAGTGAACAATATTTTTAATTATCAGGGGGGGTGAACTTTCTATGCAGGATGCTTGTAAGCTTTATTATTATATCATTTGCACTTGCCATGTATTGCAGAAGAATTTTTATAATTTGTGTACTTTAGTATCATGGGTTGCATAGATAAAAGAATTTTGCAATGTATATGTTTTGTTTATGTTTCTTATTCTGATTTTTGTTTTAAATTTAGAATGTTTGCACATAAATAATTAAACGAAACATACTCATAGCTTAATTGTGTAATCAAGATGCATTAAATGTAAAATTATATTTTTTAAATGCAATTATATACAATGAAAATATCAGTTTAAGTGAAAACATAGAGAAGAGGAAAAGGGAATTTTTATGCTCTTAAATGAAAGAAAAATTGGTACTATTCTGTTTTGAGGAGCGTAAAAAAAATTGTAGCAAAAATGTATGCACAAAAGCACCAAATCTAGCAAACACGTCCATTTAACAGCTTGCCAAATCTAGCATACATGCTGATTTCAAATTGTGTAAGTTTAGATAGTTCTATATTTCTTAAGACGGCATTGAAATACTAGTTTAACTTTTTTTTAACCATTTTCGATAATGCTGCGGATTTAACAATTTGGGAGTTGCCCAGTGACGAAAGGTTTGCAATAGAATTTTTTCAAAGAAAAGGCATCATTCATTATAGAAAATTATGTTTGAACAACCAGTGGGATGAATTAATGCTTGAGCGATAACTCTGTAGCGAAATAGCGATGCAGGAATCCACTCAGTATTGTTTAGCCTTTTTTTTATATAAATTATAATAATGATGTGAAATAGTTATTTACCCTTATGCTTTCAGTTATGTTTATCCCTGTTTGTATAAATTATAATAATAAAGTATTATGTGAAATTAACCTTTTATTTAAATTAAAACAAAATTAATCTTAGATAGTTATTTACTTTTATACTTCCTTTCTTGCATTAGGGTTGCCGAAATTATTTTTGGCAGCACTGGTATCAACAATAGTTTGGCGATTTTTTTACGGGTTTCAAAATAGAATAGTACCGAAAAATTAAATAACCTTTTGCAAAAGTCTGTTGTTTTTCTAAACTTTATTCTGCTAATTCCACTATTATGTTTTCCTCATCTGAAGTTTCATTAGTAACAGTATTAGTTGTTAATAAAAAGGGCTGGAATTGAAATTTTGTATTAATTAATGTCCTTAAGCCCATTTTTCTTTATCATGTTTTCTATTTTGGATGCTAAAAAATTCTCTACAAGATGCTAATTTTAAATATCTATCCCTATTTGCTGCAGATATAAGCAAGACTGATCATTCTACAGAATTTAGACGAACCAGATCTAATAGGCGACTTAAAAATGGAATTCAGCATCAGAAAAGTTGTGGGCAAATGAACACTCTGCATGGATTAATTTTTTAAACTCAAAATTGATAATGATAATAAAGTGTGGGTTATATATTCAAAAAGAGTGCTTTATCTAAAATGAAAAATTTTGAGACAGTCATGATTTGCTATAAAATGAGAGCACTGATATGCCCTTAGAAAATGCATTATTTGCTATAAAATGATATGCATGTAGAAAACACTAAACAACCTTTAGTGAACATAGAAAACACTAGATAAATTTTTTTATTCAAGTGTATAAAAAATTGATTTCTTCTATTAAGGTGGGTTATAAATACAATGCATTTTGCTGGAAAGTTTATTTTCATATCATATATTAGGGAAAACTGAAATTAAATATACCATGCTGAATTTCTTAATTGAAATTTTATTTGTTACCCAAAAAAAGAACATGGTCTGCAAATATTTATGGATTAAATGGTTGTGAATTATCGGAATTCTACTGTATTACTTATGTAAGTTTTTGTTGTAGAATGTATAATAACTGATGATGCGGAAAAATTTCAAGCGGAACTAAAATCTTGTTTAGAATTATGATTCATTATTGCTGATTAGAAAGCGCTTGGTTTTGCTAGATTTTAGGATATTTCCTCATTTTTGCAGCTGTCATTTTTAAACATCACCAAGAATAGTTATAAATCACCAACAACAGTCCTATTGTGAACTACTTAAATCAGGAAAAATAAAGCACATCTGCTATGTGAACCACTGCACAAGTAAACTTTTCACTGCATACATGAAAGATAAGAACAGACCAGCTTTTAATTTTAAGGTGTTTATTGAAATTCTGTAAGATGATTACTGCTCTGTACGATGCTGGTTATTTTGTGATGTAATTTCAGTAAATTTTGTTGCATTCACTGTTTATGATTCTTAAGTTTAAAGCTGAATTAATATTTACACTAAAAGTAATTACTTAATCAGTTCACTCATCATGGGGAGTTGTGTTTTAACCTGTTTTCTTTTTAAAAAAATATATTAAGAATTTTTGATTTACTGACAACTGAGGAAGAGAAGTAGGCAGCATTTTCATGTATTTCCTCTTAAGGGGGGGAGTTAATATTTTTGTTTTGTTGAAGATTGAAGAAGATGCTATGCCATTGTTCCAATAATGAGGCATTTTACCCCACATTCAGATATGCGAAAATAGTCAATGAATGGAACTAATTAAAACTAGCCACGAAATGAAATGAATTATTAATGAAAGCATTTGGAGATGCAATGTAAAGAACTACAAGCCCCCTCCAAAAAGCATACATTCTGCCAAATGATTCAGTGGTTCCTGACTATTATTTGTAATAAGAGGAATTGTCGTTGATTAAGTGGTGCAAGAGATAACTCAAGTTTTTCAAAAATATGACTGTTGACTGAAACAGTTTTGTGACAGAGATATGTTCTCTGCATTTGATCCAAGCAAATAGATGGCCCTAGAAAGATTGTGGAAATAGATGAAAATCTGTTCCGAAGAAAGAAGAAAAAAAATTGCTGACAGGGTTCTTCCATATAAATGGATATTTGGTAGGTTATGTTGAAAAACTGGTGGGTACTTTCGTGTTCAGGTTCCAAATAGAGAGGCAGCCACGCTCATGGCAAAAATTGTTTATCATGTACGAGATTGATCAACAATTTATTCGGGCTGTTGGTGAGCATACGAAACAGAAGTGGAAAATGCAGGGTATACTCAATTCACTGTGAATCATAAATTCCATTTTGTAGTACACTAAGTGTTAAAAGAGTGTGGGTAAAGTAAATTTGTAAAGTGGCAAAATAAAAAGCTATCATGCACAGTTCATCATCATTTTTGAATCATATCCTGTGAAGTTCATGTGGTGAATCAATATGGCAGCCAGAAACTATATGTGAGATGTAAACATGAACTTGGATCTTTCAATTTTGGCATTATGATAATGGGAATTGTTTAGATGAAGTGTTGATTTTAGTAGGAAAGGTTTTAGTTTATCTTAGTTTTTTAGTTCATAAGTTTTTCTTTCGGAAGAAAATCCTGTGAATTTGGTAGCTTCATGACTAGATTGTTTTTTAAACTTTGTGGAATTGAGGTAAAGTTTTCAAATTTTTTTCAAACATTTCCATTATTGTATTATAAACATTTGTATTAAGAAGATAAGCTACAAATAAGTATGTAATCATATCCTTCGATAGCACAATAGTGTTTTTATCACATGGCACATAACAGTAACAGTTTCCCAAGTAAAGAGAATAACAGAATAACAGAATTCATCAGATTGTTTGGCTTTCTTTTAACTATTCAGTTTCTGTTTTAAGACTCAAGTACTCAATTCAGACACTTTTGAAAATGATATGTGGTCAGTTTGGATATTTAGAGTTGTCTGCAGCCTAATTAGTCCAAAGGGGCAATTTGCCCTGAAGGACTATTAATTTCGTTTTGGCAATTTGCGTTGAAAACTATAACTGACGTATCATTTTTCAATTTGTTGCCATCAAATATTATAATCAATCTAATAACACACGCCACATAAGCATTTCCGTGGTATTCATCCTATTTATAACCTAAAGAAAAGGACATTTGCTTTTAGGGGAAAAAAATCTTCATTCTTCTGTAAACAGAGAAATGTTGCATGGTATATTATAATAAATTATTTACTATTACTTTTTTTATGAAATTTGTTTTAAATGAATCAGCAGTTATATTTTATAATATACTTTTCTGTTATTGTATTTTCTAAATTTTGAAGACTTAATATTAGGAAGCTGTATTTTATGCTAAGTACATTTAAGCTCTTTTAACTATAGATATTAAACTTAAATTCTTTTAAAGACTTTATAATAATCTAATAGCAATTTTAAAAAGCTAACTGTAAATTTCCTTCTTTTTATTTTATAATAATTACTTACTTTTAATTAAATATAGGATTTAGATGATCCATTATTGGATAGCAAAGTACCAACTTTATTTGTAGTGGGTCAGAATGCAACCATGTGTTCTACTGATGATGTTGAAGATTTTCGATCACGCATGCGGGCAGAAACTGGTCTTGTTGTGGTTGGAGGTTGTGATGACTACCTAAATATGTCTCCAACAAAAATGAAGTTTGAAGGTACAACACAAGCAATGGTGGATCGTTGTATATTGGTTAGTCTTTTTCATTCATTTCATTATTAGAGAGAAAATAGTTTAAGTGTAATTAAGTTGCTATTTAGCAATATTATATAAATGCATAGAAGTCATTTGAATATCTAATACAATATCTAAAATCCAGACATCCAGTATTTGGAATAATCCAATATCCAGACCCCCGCCTTTTTTTTTTTTTTTTTTTTTTTTACTTTCAAATTCTAGGAATGGAGAATATATAGTAAGTGCCACTTAAAGTGATCATGTTTGCCTGTGGTTATTTTGATAACATTAAATGATGAGAAAGAATACTGATCAAATCAACAAGAGAATTTAATATAAATATGAGAAGAAACATATAAATACTTATATTTAGAATATTTTAATTAGGAAAATAGTCATTATCAGTGGATTGTTTGCAAATGTTATGCAAAAGTCCATTTATGAAATGTGTGTAGTGTTTCTAGAAATCATTTTCTCCCAATGTTGTACTTCTAATCTTACAAACTCTAGGAATGGAGAATATACAGTAGGTGCCACTTTAAGTGATCATGTTTGCTTGTAGTTATTTTGATAACATTAGATGATGAGAAAGAATATTGATCAAATCAACAACATAATTTAATATAAAATATGAGAAGAAATATATAAATACTTATATTTACAGCATTTTAACTAAAAAAATAGTCATTATTAGTGGATTGTTTGTAAATGTTATGCAAAAGTTCATTTATGAAGTGTGTGTAGTGTTTCTAGAAATCATTTTTCCCCAATGTTTTACCTCTAATCTTAATACCTGGAGGTGTTCCTTATATCAGGATTTATAGAGAATTCACTGATTTCATCTTTATGTTCTTCAGAAAGTTTATAACATGATCTTGGATTTATTTTGCAAGCCTCTGGCAGATATCTTCTGTCCAAAGAAGAGAGACCTGTACTTGATTGTTCTCGAAATCAACAAAGTTATTAAAAATCTGCGCTAAACAAAAGGAAGCTTTTTTACCTGATTTTTTAAATGGTTGACTAAAATAAAAACCAAGCAGTCTGTTAACTTAATCTTTTACTTGGCGACATAGTTCAGTCATTTGCCAATTTAAAAAACTTTTTTAAACCTTGTTTGGAGAATTTACTTCAGTTTGAAAAATTTATTCTGTAACATTCTGATAGCATTAATTAAGTTGTTGATATAAACACATGGGACTTTGGCAATTTGATAATAGTATCCAAATGACAACATTAACTCCGATCACATTAAGATGTGTACTGTAATACTCAATAACAGATGTATTGATTTTTCGCCCAACTAGATAAGATTTACGGTGTGTCACTTTCAGAGACCTACTGGCTAGGGAATTGCATCATGGATAATGACAATGCATTTATTGATGCATTCTATAACTACACTTTTGACCCTTGAATGGCTGTGGGAGGTTAGCATCTTTCTATTTGACTTAAGTAAGTGAAACTATTTGACTGGAATTGGATGTTGCTGATACTGGTTTTCTTTTGTTGGCGTAACAACTGAGAAAGGAGAATGAATTAGTTGAAGGAACTTCAGTTGACAATGCTAATTTGCTGTTCTTTAGCTTTCTGATTTGAAGCTGCTTATTATTTTGTTCCATCTATTATTATTATTATCGTTATCAAATTACTGTTTTGGTGTGTTATAAAATGTTCATTTTATTCCACAAAGCTATATCTGTCAGTCAGGTAAGGGATATTGGAATTTTGCACTAAAATGCAAATATGAAGGAGCTTTTTAAAAACCATTGCAGCAGTAAAATCATCCAAGAGTTCTAGAAGTATTTTTATATGAAATCCTGTCTGTGGCATTACAATATCATGAGAGGATGTGCTTACCTATGTTCTTAGAAATGCAAATATATAGCCAGCTACTGAATTTCATGATAATGAAAGCTACAGATCTAAAGGTTTTTGGATCATGTAAAAAATGAAATTTGCTGTTCAATGTAAAAAAGAGAGTCTAAATGAAGATAAAATAACTAAAGTCTTATATTGTTGTGACAATGTTTCAAACATCAAACAGTTAATGGAATAGCAAATATCAATAGTTTAATTTAAAGTCCAGAAAAGAATGCCATTTCAGCTTTGACTCACTTTTAAATATTACATGATGGGAATTCAGATAAATATTTTTTGCAAAATATGAAATATTAATAAGGAATATTTTCTACAGATTTAATTGATGATCTAAAATAAAAAATTTCCGAAATGTAGTCGCCAAAGTCCTGATAATTCCAGATCTCAGACTTTGTATTGTATAGAAATTTCATTTATAAATGCAGTATAGTAAAGTGTAAAATAATGTCATAAATAAAAAAAAAAAAAAAGTATAGGTAATTTTTTTAATGAAGCAAAAGCTATTTAAATTCATTTTTTTTTTTTAAATTTGACATGTATTCAATGCAGTAGTATTCTGTACGCATATTTACTTGCTCGTAGTTGCTGAGTTCAGCCATTTGTTTATGAGACTGAATATTTTCTGTTTATAATAATGGATTTTGTGGATGAGTAACAGAGAAATGGAACTTTTATGAAGCTTTTCATAAAACACGTGTTTATTTTTTTCCTGCACTTCAACTGATAAAGTATACAAAATTTTTATAATTGGTAACTTTCAAAAGAGAAGCGTGGAAGTGCTTTAAGAAGTACAACCAAGTTTATAACGTTTACAGATTATCTCTTAATTCCTTTATCTGGACATCCTGAACAAATGCTTTTTAAGAAGATATTTTTACATCTTTTTTAATATCATTCTATAAGAGTCTCCTGTTCTGAATATCTAATGAAATACATATGATATTAGAAAAACTAGAAAAAATATCATTTTGATCTTCAACCTTCTGACTGTATCATTTTTTACTTCCTTGTACAAAGTAAAGGAAGTATTGTAATTGAAAAAAAAATTTAGGCATTGTATTTCAGAAGAAATATCTATTTTTACCATTCCCAAATCCATTTGGACGATTTTGTTAAATTACATCTGTACACTTGGACATAATAAAGGTATTACACATTTCCAGCGTCATTCTGACTAGAGAGCGCTGTGTTCGTCCCAATAGTCAGTGGCAGGCAAGATACTAAAGGTGTAGGACATGGAAGGCAGAGATGCTTAATAATATATCTCTAATTGATTGAAATTTTCATATATTTTCTTGTGAATAAATGTTGTTATTGTTTACAAAACCTCTTATTATCTCTTGGATGCACCTTTAGTCTCACAGAACCATTAGATGCAAAATTGGTGCATCGGCCGGGAATGTGGAATATCAGAAGTAATTAGTCATCATTACTGGATTATATTTCTGAGAAGTTTGGATACTTTACGTATGGTTTTGGATACGTAACATTGCATACTGGACTGTGGAGGTAAGATCTTTTGAACTCACAAATTCTGAGTTAATACGGATAAACTTTCGAAAATAATTGAAAAAAGAAGTAACGTTCGTGCTAGTGTTACTAAACTAGTTAAAAGAGTGCAGAAGCTCGATGAAGTTGTTGAAGACGTAAGATCATTATCAGAACTACTGGAACTATTAGAAACGAAAGAGCAGATCTTGAAAAGCCATGATTTAGAGGTGGAAGCACTCATAGACGATCCAGAAAAATTTAAAAGTGAATTAAAAGGTTCGCTAAGATTAAATTAAAGAATTAGCAGCAGAAAATGTTCAGCGGACTTCTTCAGTTCTTAACACATCTAGTGTTTCGAAAACACCGTTACGGCTTTAAAATTACCAAAGTTAAAAATTTCGCGATTCTGTGGTGATTCTGGCAAATTGATGGAATTCTTAAAACTGTTTTGATAGCACAATCAGTTCAAACAATTCACTTACGAAAATTGAAAAATTCCAATATCTAAAATTTCTTCTTTCTGATCCTGCATATAACATTGTTGCGGGTTTTGAATTGCATGTGAAAAACTATGACTCATGTCTTGAGCTTTTAAAACAAAGATATGGTAGAACTGATTCTATTATAAATTCTTACATGACTAAATTATTAAGCTTAGAACCCGTGAGATGTTCGTCTAATGTTAAGGATTTGCGTAAATTATACGATGAAATAGAAGTTAATACAAGAAATCTGCGTTCATTAAATGTAACAGAGGGTTCATATGGATATTTATTGAATCCAGTATTATTGAAGTTGCTACCACAAGATTTGGTGTTAGATTTTCACCAAATGTGTTAGATTTAAAAAACGAAACAGGGAAGTGAATTGTGAGGTTTCGGAAATTATTATGTTTTTGAGGAATGAAGTCGAATCTAGGGAAATTGGCGAAACTGTTGATGAACCCCGTAAAAAGTTATGAAACAAAATGATCCTTTTCCCGAAATTATCAAAGTGGTTAAAATTAGCAGAAAAACTATTCAAAGCCTAAAAATATATCAACCACTTCAGTGTTAAATACACAAATAAAAAATGTTTGTTTATACTGTGACGGTCATCACGATTCCGTAAGTTGTAAAAAATTGGATATAGAACAAAAAATAAATAAGGTAAAGATTGAAGCTAGATGCTGGTGTTGTTTTAAAAAATATCACGTCTCGCAAATGTAGGGCAAAAATATCGTGTAAAAATTGTTTAAGCAATTTTCATCATGAGTCAGTGTGTAGAAAAAATAAACCCGTTAATGTTACGATGAGAGGTTGTGAGAAGCAAGTGGAAAGTGAAACTGTTTTGAATGACTCACAATCTAAATCTAATAAAAACGCTGCCAAGAATATTTCTGTGTCTCATAGTAATATATGTACCAAAAATAAGCCCTTTTTACAAACATGTACAGTTTTAGCCTGTTCGGATAAAAAATTCAGTCTTAACTAATGTTATTTTAATGTTATTTTAGATAATGGTAGTCATCGAAGTTTTATTTCATCTCGATTAGTTAAAGAATTAAAATTAAAGCCAATACGCTACGAAAGAATAGCTATTTTTGCTTTCGGAGACAAAATGCCATGTGAGAAGGAATACGGTATCGTTTCATTGACGTTGCGCAA